GTGTAGAATCGTTTTTTTTTTTTTTATCAAAAAGATTTTATAAATATGCCTCTGTTCAGTAATAAAACACTTAAAAAACGAAAGTTTGGAAAAATAGGTACAAAAATCCAAACTTTCGAGGAATTAAATGTTGCATAACAGTCAGACAATTGCAACATAAATAATTCAATTTTGAAAGTAAAGTTAGGTAAGTTTAATAAAGTGTATGCTCCTTTTTTAGATTCATTTGAATGTTTTTGTGAAATGACTGACATTGTACTGTTTTCTTGTGCTTTGAAACAACATTAATTACATAAATAAAATGTAAAAAACAAGGTATTCACATAAATTTTGGTTGCCAAATCCAGAGTTTGGCTACAAAATTGTTAATATGTTGTGATTTTCGTGGTCTTATTCCAATATTTCTTAATACCAGGTTTACAAAAGCAGTAGTTAATAAAAAAAGATACAAAATTATATAAAGTAAACACTAGGATTTTATATGTTATGAGATATATTGAAAAAGAAGCAGGTGCGAAAATATTTTGCGGAGTTTTGAATTTGTCACCTCCACCAAAGTGGTTTTATGAGTCCAGACATACATTAAATAACGCAACATAGAAAGTAGCCAAAGTGTCTATGACATTAGCTGCAGTTGAAACAATATAATTTAATAATGGAGGTCCAAATGTACCGGTTGCTATCGATAGTACCTAGCAAAAAAAAGGGGGCTTACTTGGCAAAATGGTATTGTTACGACAGTTAGTGTGGGCACTGTGAAAATTGTTGATGCTGAAATATTATCGAGGAAATGCTCATGTAATTTTAACGGCAATGTACATAGAGATGAGTGTTTGGCAAATTACGTTGGGAATAATACGGGAATGGAAGTTGAAGGTACACTTCGAATCTTCCATCGATCAAAGGCATTGCACAATTTACGCGCGCGATGTACACAATACTTTAACTATATGGGAACTCTAAAGTATGCAAAGCAGTTTTAGAATCTAAACTTTAAAGGGATGTCAACATTAAAAAATTAGAATGTGTTGGTCATGTTGAGTAAAGGATGGGGACACAACTTAGGACATTCAAATTAAAAGGCAAAGAACTCGAGAACAAGAAATGGCGTAATATATTGACAGATGCAGAAATAGATAAATTGCAAAGATACTGTGTTTCGGCTATTCAAAAGAACTCAGTAAACTTATCAGCCATAAGGCAAGCTATTTGGGCTATATTTTTGATAAAAATCTCCCCGATTTGAATCTATGACACGGTTTATGCCCCATGGGAGGTGACTCGTGGTGTAGATATAATATGTCCATGCTGAAAGGTTACACATAAAAGCATAAACACAACTTACCTATTGCAATTAGGGATTGCATAAAAAAAGTATTTAGAGGTCTCTAGTCTTGAACTTTTATCTAGATGCTTGTTTGATAAAATTCAAAATTTTAGTGAAGGCGTAAATAGTATTTGGTCTATAATTCCAAAAACTGTATTTGTGAACTTTAAAAACTGGAGTACATGAAGCTATGTCTTTATAGAATCAATGCTTCATTACTAAATTAAAAGTTTTAGATGCATTAAACATTCAACAATCCCTAGATTTTACAAATGTCGAGCGTTGCAAGATGTAGATCATGCGTGTATTAAGAAAGAAGAATAGGCAGTTTTACAATGAACCAAAGAAGCTAGAATTAAAAACAAACAATTAAAATGTAGACAAGAAGATGATCTTGCAGATGACACCAGCAATCCAAGTTATAGTTCTGGTATGTATTAGTTAATAGTAAGTTTTTACTTTAAATCACTATTTCTCAAAAGTGTAAATTTCAACACAAAAGGAACATTTTTGAAAAAGTGTGTGTGTGTACTTATGTACGCACGCAAGAAGTTATACTTCTTTGGAGTAATAAGATTAAAATCTTTCTAAAAATCTTTCGCAGGGCAAGCTGGGCCAAGGAAGAAAAACGGTCACGAGCAGAGTTGAATGATACTAACCTTCAGTCAATCGGACCAGCCAAACATGAGATAATCACGATTTAAATAAATTTAAACACCCCCACACAGGGACAATAGGACCAATAATATGGGGAGGGGGTGAAGGCGGGAATGATCTGTCCCGTTCTGCATATTTCTAGACAAAGCATTTTCGTATCCGTTCCTACGGAATGCAAAGGAAAGGTTCGCTGACGCGGGGGTATAGCTCAGTGGTAGAGCATTCGACTACAGATCGAGACATCTTCGGTTCAAACCCGGATGATCCCTTTTTCAGGGAAGTGAAGAGAAATATTGTTTTGAGAAATTTGAAAGCGGGAATGATCTGTCCCATTCTGTATATTTCTAGTCAAAGCATTTTCATATACGTTCCTACGGAACACAAAGCAAAGCAAAGGTTCGCTGACGCTGGTGTATAGCTCAGTGGTAGAGCATTCGGCTGCAGATTGAGAGGTCTCCGGTTCAAATCCGGGTGTCCCCTTCTTCAGGGAAGTGAAGAGAAATATTTTTCTCAGAATTTCGAAGGCGGGAATGATTTGTCCCGTTCTGTATATTTCTAGACAAAGGATTTTCGCATCCGTGACGGTGTGCGTCACATCCGTGATGGTTCTGCGTCACATTCGTGACGGGGTGCGCGCGCATTGTAAAAATTTACCCTCATCCTATTTCTCTAACTCCCCAAAAGAAGTATAACTTCAAAAACTACTTATCTTGTAGCCTTGAAACTTTGCACACGTGTTAACACTATACAAATAAATATTTTAATGAGAGATTTTGTCAAAAAATTTATTCAAAAAATATTTATGGATTAAAATGTACAAGAATTTTGAACGGCTTAAAAATTTTGACGTGTTACTCCACATATGATTTTTTTTTTAAAAAAAAAAACTATTCAAAATTTAGAAAAATGCTCCCATTAAAATAATAAAAACAATACAATGAATGCACACAAAAAAATTCATGAATGTACAACCTGCCAATTTTTTAAAAATGTTCCTTAAAATTGGTCATTTTTAACATTATGGAGATAGGGAAAATGCTGCGTGAAGTGGCTCCTTAATAATGACAGCATCCCAATCAAAAGAGTAAAGAAAAAAAACTTTAATTCAATTGTACTAGAAACTTTACCATTTTTTCACGATTTTAATATAATTGTGCGATTTTAATTAGTTAAACAATAATGACAGAAGATTGTTAATAATGTACAACACAAAGTTCACTTGTATGACTAATATTTTAGATTAACAACCATCTTTTATTTAAAAGCCCTAATTGGTCTGTAAATTTTTTATTAAAAATTTTATTCTGTCCTGGTGAAGTAATTAAAATAAGTCAACTTATATATATATATATGTAGTATAACAAAATAAAAAAAATTAAAATAATAAGAGACAAAATTGTACTTCCTACAAGGCTAAAAAAGTAGGAAATTGGATTTTGAGAAACATATCAAGAAAATAAATGGTGCAAAAGAATATTGTACTAAAAGTGGATGAAAACAGACAAAAAATTAAACAGAGGAGTAGAGCTATTAAAATTGAAGATACCAAAATAATTTAGACTAAAATGGAGACCTATTATGATTTCTAAAGCTTTCACTGAATTAGGCCAGAGAATTGAGGGTTAAGCAATGCTTTATGGATCCACTTTCCCTGTACAGCAGAAATTTTCGACATAATAGAAAAAATAGAGCCATGTTGAAAAATTAGGCCTATATGTGTCACACGAGGATCAAACACCAGACAGTAAAATAAAATGAAACTATGAATAGTGAGAATAGTAAGGTTTCTCTCATAGAGAAGGATATTAAGAAAAAAAATTGGAAAAACTTACATGTAAAAATGCTAACCATTAAGATATATAAAGACAAAGTATCTTAGTCAGAAATCACGCACAAAGGGACGTGTTAAAATTGAAGTGTTAACACATAGAAGCAAAAAACAGTGGCGTCACCTAGATAGTTTTTTTTTGTAATTAAACTAAGCATACGTTATCTTAATGAAATTAATAAACTAAATTGTGAAAGAATCTAAAAAAAAAGAGTTAAGATAACATAGAAATATATTTAAAAATGAATTTACTTGGATAGTTGTAATCCAAGCAATTACTGCAGAATTTTTTATATTTACCTTATTTTAGTTCATTATCAGTAACTAAATCATTGTTTTTTTTTTTTATAAAATTTAAGATGAAATTTCTAAATATAGATAGGTGTAGGTTACTACACCAGAATGGCATTTTTACAATGTTAAATTCAAACAAGTCTTTTTTATCAAAAATATTACTTATTAGCAAATTATTATTAACGTTTGATTGAAGGTCCTGACTCATTATTGTAATTAGTTTTTAATAATTTCAAATATTGGGGATAATAATTAAAACTAGGAACATAATCTACTATATAACTAAAAATAATTAAATCATCTATGTATCTAACATAGTAACAAGAGTCGTAACTACTACTATCATGTTTATTAGATACTCAACTCTTTTTTTTTGTGCGGTAGATAAGTTCCTTAGATAATGATGCAAAGAAAATCGTGTAAAAAATACATGCGACATATGGTAAATTTGGAGATATGTTATACAATTTTTAAAAATCGTCTAAGATGAAAAATCTCTAAATATTTCCCCCAAAACCGTGTAAAAAAGTAGTAAAAAAAATCCATTTTACATATTTTACTCTATTTATTTTTGATAAAAGAAAATTAAAATTAGTGTACAATGAAAATTCTGTGTATAACTATATAGAACATATAAAAATTCAAATTGAAATTAGGAATAAAACTACTAATTAACTATTCATCGCTACGTGATAACAAACATGCAAGTTTATTACGAACTGGATAAAAAATGCTGTCATCAGTAGATGGGTCAGATATGTCGAGCACAACTTTCAGTTTTGATTCAAATGAAGAATTTCATTCGTTATGTAAACGGCCTCTGTTGGGTTTTTTTGTTGTTACAGTCTTATTAGTTGTTGTATTTTTGGTTCTTCAAGTTGATTGTATAATTTTTGATATCCTGCTCAACAAGATTACGTAGAAATTTTAATGCTTGCTCTATGTCAGGATCATAAGCAATAGAATTTTGTTCCCTACTTGTAGCAAATTTCAAGCCCTCGCGAATTAACTCTTGGACAGTATCAACTGATTTATTATCATAAACTGGTTCCTCATCCAAATGGCACGAGTCCTCAGATTTTTTTGAAATTCGTGCAAGAACAAAAAGTTGGAGTAAAAGTTTCTCACACACTCATGCACTTTGTACTTATTATTTGTATCATGTATTTTGTACTGAATTTGTTATTAAGATCATATTTCTGTTGAATGTCGTGGCACGAGGACGAATCACCTTAATTAGAAAAATCCACATTTAGTTAGTTCAGTAAGAAACACACATGAATCAAACAGAGCACACGCATTAATACACGTGGTTGACTGGACAAAATCATTCATTGTTCGTTCCTGTGATCTCAGCCTTTTATAATTTGGGTCAACCGGAAGCTTTTAGAATCATATGATTTTCGATAAAGGTCTTTCTAAAGGGTCCGCGGGTGATGCAAGATTGCATCCTTCTGATTTAAAAACGTTGACCTTTTAGTTTTTTGGGAGATAATGATGTGGTTATTTCCAGTTAGGTGGGGTTAAAATGAAAATTATTTATTACGAAAAATCTTGGAGGGCCCAAGAACTTCATGAATTCAACTTAATCTAGAGAAATTTAAGTGAATTATTACATCATTTTAAGGTTTTAGAAAAAAAATTGGAAAAAAAGTATTCTCTGTTAAAACGTTATTATCGAAAATTCTTTCAGTAAATTAAAAAGTAGATGGCTAAAATACGAATTTTCAAACGACGGAAAATGTACAAATTTTTTCCGACGGAAGGAAGTTGTTACCTAACATATTTGCATACTTCCATCTACCTCTGCAGCCAATTGCATCCTCTTCAAGTCTGATTGGCTTCCGGAAATTAGCATTTTCCTTTCCGTGCTTAACTTTTGGAAGTGAGTGTAGAAAATGAACCTAATATGCAGTTGTAAAGTGAAAATAATTTAACAGATTTCAGATTTGGTAAATGTAAATCCAAGTAGAAGAGTTGATGAATTTGAGCAAATATAAAGTATATAAGCTTAAAATTTATGTTTTTATGTTATGCTTCGAACAATTCATATTTTTGTAACCATTATTATTTGGGTTTTAAAGTAATTACAGCGTGTAGCGTTTTTTTTTCAATTGTTTTTATCCTTATCATTATTAAGGAATCCGATAATCTTTTATTCAAATGATTTAATAATGCGTGCGTGTCAATACATTTTAGAATGAAATTATTAACTAGAAGTTTTCTTAAAAATTTTATATGTCAACTTGCATTGAAAAATAATTACAGAACATTCTCACAAATTCCCATAAAAAGCATCCCATTGCTTTAAAATCTATTATGCAATTATAGATTATGCCCATTATGCATTGCATTTAATGGGTGAAATGTTGAGCCTAAAGTGAAATAATTATTTTTAAATACTAAACATTGTGTTTCAAAACAATTGGGTGCGTCAAAGATTTAACAATATTTAACAAAAATAAAAAATGAAAGAAACGGCTGTATTTATTTTAAGAAAGCAAAGTACAGTTATAAATTACTATTAAAATTCCTCTATTAATTACTACTTTCAAAATTATCCTAACCATTCAATTTTTGTGCGGATTGATCGGGTTGGAAAAGCCTTTGTCATCCATGAACCGAAAAGAACTTGAATAAAAGTTCGGAAAAATCAGTCGTTATCGATTATGAAAGGAAGCGAGGGAAAATGGTTGAACATTGATTTCGTAGTGGTCATGACGACCATAACAACATGTATTTAAGCGATCTCTGATTCCAAGACATCTCTTCTGGCACTTGTGAAAACACAAATCGTTTTCCAGAATCGCGCTCTAATGAACCCAAAGACATTAGGAGTTGAGAGTGCCGGCTCCTTTCTCTTCAAAAATAATCGATGCCATTTTCATTCTAGTTTTTTTATTATTAAATAACTATTTAAAAAAATCGGTATCTAATGAACTATTCTAATACTTTACAATAGATACGTTTCTTCAGAATTATAATTTTAATTTTGAAAAAAGGCCATGACAAATTATTCTGATTAATTTAGTATTAAAACGCAATATAGGTACTAGATTTTACAAATAAATTAACGACTCAGCAATTAAATTTTTTTAGGATGATACAATAAGATGGTACAAAGTGTTACAAAATCTACGCGAGCAA